AAAGGAAGAGTCTTAGCAGAAGGATACAGAAGGGGGTTCAGGCAGAAGAGTCTCAGTGGGCAAGGAGACAGACAGGCAAGTGTGGAGTGCAGGTGCTCATGAAGTGCCGCAATTGGAGAAAATCTAGAAGGATAAACAAGGGCGGGAAGGGGGAGGGGCACTGAATTCTGTGCCAAGGAGCTTATGCTCTGTCCTCTGGGGACTGAAGCGATTTTCGACCACAGAAGTTGTGCTGATTAAAGATACTCTTACACACTGTTCAATAGCTGAATTCCCCCCACGGGCAAGGAGGAATACAGGAGAACGAGGCGGATGGAGCGCGGTGAGATCAGACGGCTTCTGTATCAGAAAATACTCCGCGTGTTACAACTCTAACAATCAGAGCCTTCAGACAAACCAAGTTTTTTAGGGAAAACAAATAAACTTGGTGTCCTTTCTCTACCTTAGTAATAGAGAAATTGCATTTACAAATGATTTCTCTTGGAAGAGAAATGAAACACAATTCACATCAGGCTGGGGTGGCTTTTAAGGGGGTACCAGAACATGCTCAAGGGGACAGGATGTATTGGGGCAACTAACTGTTGACTTGGTACTAATGAAATCGAAACTGTTGTTGAGAAGACAGCTAATCACTGCCCTTGTAAAAGCTGAAATAAAAGAACAATTATCCTCAAGTTTTAAGTGAAATATAGTTAGTTTTTCCCCACTCATCAAAGACACACCCTGTACAAACTGCCAGCTGTAAAATCAGGGCCAAATGGATCAGGGGGGGAAAAGTCATGCCTTCCCACCTCCCTTCCAATGCCAAGTGAATTAGTAATTAAAAATTTCCAAGTGACCTTCACCAACTCCCTTTCTGCATAGATTTCCCCAAATGATCTCTCCAGAAATGGCTTCAGTAGGCACGTGACTTCCAATCATCCTTAATCCCTAGATCGCGCAGTCTCATCTGCAGACAGGAGCACAGGGGTGGGGAAATGGCAAATAAAGTCTCTTTACGAAGCTCAGAATGGGAATTTGAAAGGGACTTTCTATCTTCTTCTGATTTTAAAAGCAGATGTGAGTTTGGGCAGAAACAGTTATCCCTTCTACTTTTTTTCTCCCTTAGTGTTCAGACCCTATTAATCATATTAAACTGAAATTTTGCACAGGCTGACAGATTTCAAAGGCATTGCCAAGAGGCCAAGTTAACTATAAGATATCAGCTCTCCACCCTTCCCAGCCCTGGAATTACCGATGACTGCGGCGGTGAATAGTTGCATTGTGCAAATGAAGGAAGCAAAAATGAAAATTTGGAGATGACATTCACTTCAGATTTCCTGCCTGAGCGCTGCGATCCCTATTTGGAACAAACACCCCACTGATCTAGCTGCTACAGCGGAGGCTGCCGCCCACATCACCCACATATTTTAGAGCAGCTTCCAAGAGATCAGAGAATCCTAAACCACAATTGTCTAAGAGCTGACAGAGAAATGAGGAAGCGGAAGGACCATTCCAAAGACAAAAAGCTAATTGATGGCAAAGTCAACCCTGGCACCACATACCTCAATTTAGAAAACACAACCCTGATGTCCGGTCTGTGGTTTTCCAGCCAGTGTTCCTCCTCCCGCCCCGTGCATATGGTTCCTTAGGGTCTTGCAGCCCCAGACCCTGCCCATCTTGCATATTCCCTCCTGTAGTAATCCCAGCTGTTCCTGTGGTTTCTCATCCCACCCACCTGTACCCGACGATCGTATCAAAATCCATAGCCCTGACCTGTCTCTGATCTCTACCCCCAACTGCCAGCTGCTTCCTGGACATGTGTCCAAGCCCCACAAATCCAGGATCCTCCCACCAGCACCACCCCTTAACCCCACAAGCTTCCTGGATCCTGAATTCCCTACGCCATTCATGGTAGCACTCTCTGTCCAGGAACATCTCGAGCTTCTCTCTCACCCCAACAGCCTGTAAATAATTTGGTCATTTCCTAGTGCTCCAAACGTTCTAGCAACCGCAGCCACCGCCCCAGCTAAACCCACATCACCTCCCACCTGGAGGATCACAACGGAGTTGTCTTCCTAGAACTTGGATCAAATCATGTATTGCAGCAACTTAAAAATATTTATTAGTCCCTTTTTGCCCACTCAGTAAATATGGATTAAAAATAAATAAGTAAGAAGGCTTGTTTATTTTGGCTCAGTGCCATCGAAAAGCTTTCTAACGATCCCAGCTGTGTGAGCACGTCATGAGCTATCTGAAAATAGAGTGAGCCCCTCTCCGTGGTCTGCCCACTGCAGAAGCTTCTCCATCCCAGCGTGGACATGGTGAAGAGGGGTTCAAACGTCTGACATCTCAAAGAAGCTGGACAAAATGTCCTCTGTGGCCTGTCCCAGACTTGGGATTCCACAGGTCTACTTATGGCTTTGGGGACATCTGCCAGGTCCATGGGTCCCTTCTGGAGAATTGTCCCACCAGCCAGTCAGCCACAAAGTGGGGTCCTCGGAAGCTGTGTGTCTAACACCTGCCCTTGTCTCCTGACCGAAGACGACTGACTCGGGACGGAGCCTGGCCCCCCACTGCGGGTGCAGGTCACACGCTCCTGCTGCCAAGGCCGGGGAGCGCCGCTGGTTCCTGCACTGGCTGCAACCCCGTGGCTCATTCTTCCATGACGTTCACTAGTTTCCTTACAACAGTTCCTGTTTTTCAACTACTGTGCATTTCTTGTCCTTGCAACCACCCAGAGTTTGACCTAAAACTCTGCTCTCTGGGTGTCTCGAAGCCACTGAGAAGACTCAGAAAGACCTCGTCCTTGTGCAGGCCCTCCTTGTGAGTGTGGGAGCAGGGAGTCCAGCTCCTGCAAGAGAGGGCTTGGCCACAGAGAGCCCAGAAGGCACAGATGGCTGCTCAGGCCTGTTTTCATAGAGAAGATGTGACCAGACTCCGTCCTTGACCAATCTTTAGCCAGGCCCCCTGGGGCCACCTTCTGGACCCGGCCTTGCCCTCAGCCTGCTGGCCCGGTTTAGTGAGACTCCTGCTAAGCCAGTTTAGGGAGAACTCCCCACCCTCGATATCTAATCAAGTTCCTCTCGCCTCGCCTTAGATATCAGGTTCCTCTTAGTAATTTTCCATCCACTGAGTCCCTCATCCTGCCTTTGGCTATGTTCAGAGTTGAGCTTAGTCCTAAACCGAAGGCTCTCTCCTCTCCTGCAGTAACTCCAGTAAAATCTGTCTTGCCATTTTTAACAAGTGAGCAGTGCAATTTTTCTTTAACGGACAGAGACAGGCTTGCAGGGAGATGCAGAGTGTGAGCGGGTGCCTTGGAGAATAAGTCCTGCAGGGAAGCATGGCCCATTTCGGTACGACTGCCTGTCTTCTACCAGAATACCCGAAGTTTAGGAATGTCTTTAAATTCTCTTCAGTAATTAGCACTTTGACAATATTGACAAATTAAAAAAAAAAAAAAAAAAAAAAAAAAAGCAAGGAGATACGTCTCCCTCCCCACCCAGGGCTGCTTGGGCACATTCCCTACAGCCCAGACCATTAACCTCCAGCCTCGGGCCAGCATGTACTTGGTTCCTAAGTCACTGATCTGCAAAGAGTAGGGACCCACTGTGGAAGTGACCAATTAGGCCCATTTGGAGCTGGCCAGGTCCTGAGATAGAGAAGACCAGACATCTATGTTTCAGTCACCAGGTATGACTGTGCTCACAGCCACCTCTGTGGAAAATGTGGCCCTCTTCTCAATGTCCCCATACTCCCCATGGGGTGCAGGTAGCCAGCCATGTTTCCCGAGCCTGCCTTTGCTGTTTAGGCCACCAGAAGTGTCTGTTAATGAATTCACACTGTCACCACGGGCAATTTCTGGGCTAGGTTTTCAAGGGCCAAAACTAAGTATCTGCCACTATTAAAGAATAAGCTGCAAACCATGCTTTGGGGGCTTCCAGAGAGGATTAAATATGAAAGGTATTTCAAACAATACTTTTGTCTTGGACTGATGGTGTCAGTTATGGAAAGGAATCCAGGTCCCTGATATCTTTAATATAGGCAGGTGGTAGAGTGATGAAAAGAGAAGCTACAAATGTGTATGTGTATGTGTGTGTGTACATATGTACACACATACACACTCGTACACACATACATGTAAACACATACACACACATATAAACACATACACATGTACATATATAAAGACATACATATACATATATAAATACATATAAACACATACGTGTACACGTATATACACACACATACATATAAACACATGTATATACACATGCATATATATAAAAATACACATATATATTTTCATCTGTAGCAGTTCACATGCCATATTTATAACTTATAAAATGAGGATGAAAAAATAAAATATACTACATTAAAACATTATTTTAGAATTTAGTTTTGCTGGAGTCTCTGAATTGAAACATTCTGTTAACCCAGTAGTCTTCTGATAGTGCCGTCAGAACATTTGACCTAAATCCATGTGATTTCACACACAAAGATAGGGGGAGCTTATTTTCACATCATCTATATTAACAAACTTAATAAAAGTTATGAACTATAACCATCTCACCTAGTGTTTTTACAGTTTAGTGGCTATAAATTGAAGCTTTATAAAAAGTGATTTATGATGCACATGCACTGCCTGTATTTAAATTGCATCCACTCTGTTCCAAGAACATTCCGCAGGTGTCTCATTGCTCATTCCTGAGGGAGCCCCGTCCGCTCCGGCCTGAGCCGCGGACTCCGCTCCCTGCAGCGACCTCGGTTCCGAAGGCACCACCTGAGGCAGCCGCTATTTCCTTTGCATCTTTCCCCGTTTGGAGGCTGCTAGCCTCACAACACAGGTGTTTAGAAATTCAAATCAGCTTCGAATCTTGCCGGAGCCACTGAGCTATCATCTCCAGTTTGGGGGAAAACTAGACTCGAAAGTACATTTCATTATTAATAAAAATAAAGGAAACAGAGTAAATAAAGTCGTGAAAGAAAGCGCTGGCTGGGCAAGCCCAGTTCTTTACCTGTGTTCGAAAGACTTTCATTTCTTTCCCAGGCAGAATGATCTTTGCGGGATGAGAAGAGTCGACTGTGGATCTGGAAAATAAACAGAAACCTTGCCCAGTTTTATATTTTTGTTTGCCAGATACATCATCTTCAGTGATGTACCTTATCTTTTAAAAAAAATCAGGAACATCCCTAGAATCTCTCCACTCTTCCAAGACAGAACTGCAGATCGTAATGAGTACTCGTTTCCATTTCCCCCAGGTTACCTCTGCCAAGGAGTAAAAGGCAGGTTTCAAAATGCACAGGAAGGAAGGGAGGGGGAAGAAAGAGTATAACCAGCCAGCATTGATTTTGCTGTGCATTTTGTTAGTAGATCAAGGAACCACATCTAATAGTTTTCCTAGCCCATCACAGTGCTGAACGGGTGCCGAGCTAAAGCTGGCACTGAATAAATGTTGATAAATTGATTAACCATGAGCAATCAAATTCCAGGAATTAGCCTTTAAGACCCAATGAAAACAGCATTAATATAGACGAAGTATTCTGCTGTCTGCAAGTATGATTATTATGCTGTCTCTCCCATAAGGTAAAGGTTTATTTTGTAATTTATTCTGAAAGCCGTTTGCCATGGGTGAGATTTTGGGCTCTGATATCTAACTTATATAATATGACTCCAGAACATTCCATTCCATACTGGGTCTGCCCCATCCCCACCGTCCCTCGGAACATCCCGGGATCTCATATCAGAGCTAAAGAGCAGCTCTTCTGAAGGGCCTGCCATCATCGTGGCATGACCTGAAGGGACAGCGCATTCGTGGGGCTCAAGCTCGGCTCTCATCCTGAACCTCAGTTAATGTCATAGCCCCGAGGCTGAGTTAGCTTTTGGGGGATTCGGTTCCCATTTCTTGCTCCCTTTCATCCCCAGCATCGAGGTAACCAGTTCTGGAGTTTCAGAGGGGAAGCTGTAGTCAAACAACTCTTCTGTCCCCAGGAGAAGTCTGGCCTCCTCCCAGCCCAGTGAATGAGAAAGAATGGAGTGGGACGTGGACCAGGCCTGGGCTGAGATCCAGGGGGTTCAACATTTTACTCACATTTCTGCCACTCCCTCAACTTCCCAACTGTGGCTCTGCTCAGCAATTGCCTGTCAGTAATATGATTATTAATTATAAGAAGAAGTGCTGAAAATTATCGAGGCTTCACGTGTGCCAGTTGTGTGCTCAATGCTTTATGTACATCGTCTCACTGAATTGACGCAACTGTTAGAAAGATACGCCGCTGTCAGTCCTGCTACAGCAGCTGAGAAAGCTAAGGCTTCAGGTAAGTGACAGGCCAAGGTCACCCAGCTGCGTGCAATGGAGCCAGGATTCAGACCAGGCCAGTTAGACCCAAAGCACCCTAGCTTTAAGCCAGTGTGTTCTAAATATTGTCATTGTTATTATTGTCATTACTGCTATGATCTGAATGTGCCCCCCAAAATTCTTGTGTTGGAAACTTAATCCTCAATGCAACTGTGTTGGGAGGTGGGGCCTAACAGGAGGTGTTTGGGTCACAAGGTCTCTGCCTCATGGATGGATTGATACTGCCACAGAAGGGCTTCCAGGAATTAGCTTGCTCTTTGGCCATGTGAGGACACAGAGAGAAGCCCTCACCAGATGCTGGTGCCTTGATCCTGGACTTCTCGGCCTTCGGAAGTGTGAGAAGTACATTTCGGTTCTTTATAAATTACACAGTCTTGGGTATTCTGTTGTAGCAGCACAAATAGGACTAAGACACCAAGTATTATTAGTAGGCTATTTGACTACATCTGGCAACACCTATATTGCCATTATACTTCTATGGGTCCTTTTCTTGGGCTTAGCATACACCTGTCATAGGAAATACTGGATAATACATGAAATATTTTCAGGAAGGAAATTAAGTGTTGCAATGTGGGACATGGGATTAGAAAATAATTTAAATCCTAAATCCATCAAAAGAAGCAAGTTTTCTCTCCCCGGCTTCAGACCAACCAGGTGGGTCTGGAAGCTTTCTGAGGGGTGGAGGGTGCAGAGAGAAACTGCCATGGCGGAGATCTTAAGTTTCTTCCCTCCGGGGTTTCTGTCTTGTATGGCTCTTTTAAGAAAGATTGTTATGCACATTTTTAAATGAAACTCTATCAAGTCTAGCAAGTTAATTAACCTGGGATATGACAACACAGAATTAATTTTCCCTCCACAGGCTCCTGATGCACCGTGCAATGATTAGTCAGGAGCCCCAGCCTCGCCATGGAGTAACAGACACTCGTGTGCAGGTTTGGATCACAGGCAGTTTCTCTCTCTCGGGCTCCAGCAACTCACAGTGGATGGCAAACTGACGAGGCCCCACAGCCCTCTGCAAGGGTCTGGTTTCTCCAAAGCCTGGAACCATGTTCTGCAGGCTCTGGGCACTATTTATCTAAGAATTCCCAATGATGGAGTTATTTGGGAACCTCTTTCATCAACTGACCCTAGATCTCAATCCAGTTGCAACGTTCTGGAAAGGCTTGGTGTTGGCTCTACTTTCTGCTGGTTGTTGACTGTAATTCCTTTGTACAGAAGAGCAACACTTTTCATTGCCCTTAGGATAAAGTCTGAAGAGGCTCCCATGTGGTGTGCCCTTGCTAATCTCTGTGGCATCACTGGGCACCTCTCTCCTGGCCACACGCTGTGTGTGTGAGCTTCCAGCATCCCCTTGGAAATACACACTCTCACCCACCACAGGGCCCTTGCACATGCTGTCCCACTGGCATAGTGTGTTTCTCTGGTCCTCCTCTGATCTCAGCTTACTTTATCTGCCCATGTCAATATCCCTCCTGACACCACCTTCAAAACTAGGTCAGGTTCCCTGATTATAAGCTCTTATAAAGGCATTCCTTTTCTTCAGAGCACTTCCCTCAGTTTGTAAATACACACAGGTAAGTGTGAATCTGTATGTCTGCCTCTCCCCTTGACTGCAACCCCTATGAGAATAAAATTATTTTTGCCTTGCTCGCCAATGGATTTCTAGCTCCTAATACGGGGCTGGACACATTGTAGGCTGTCAATAAGTATTTGTTGGGAAAAAAAAGCATGGAGGAAGGCACAAATGAATGACTGCAAACCTCTTATCCAGGCTGAGTCATGCACAGTGCCCTTTGGAACCCATTCTCCTGTCTTCTTGGAGGTCTTATACCATCGAGGACCCCACTCTCTCCTGTGTTCAACCTTGCCTTCCCCAACATTTCTAACCTCATCCATCTCTTTCTCAACTTAAAAAAAAAAACACGTCAGTAATCATCAGGGAAACGGAAACCAAAACCATAAAGAGGTATCATCTCATCCCAGTTAGGATGGCTATTATAAAAATACAAAAAATAACAAACGTTGGTGAGGACAGGAAGAAAAGGGAATTCTTATACACTCTGGCTAAGGATGTAGGGGGTGGGGGCCACAGTGTTAAAGGCTACAAAATTATAGCTAGATAGGAGGAGTAAGTTCTAGTGTTCTATACCACTGTGAGATGAATACAGTTAACAATAATACATCACGCAGTTTCAAATAGCTGGAAGGAGGATACTGAATGTTCCCAACACAAAGAAATGGTAAATGCTTGAGTTGATGCCTAGGCTAATTACCCTGATTTGATCACTGTACATTATATGTATCAAAACATCACCATGTACCCATGAATATATGCAATTATTTGTCAGTTAAAAAGATAAAATAATAAAAAGTCATTGCCATAAAAAAGATAAATATGGCCGCCTCATAGTTCTCATGTGAGATGCATCCCAAACTTGGCCTTTCAGTGTAGTTACAAATCTATTTCAAAACAAAACATTTGCTTTTTCACTCCTGTTTGGCCTCTTTCATTTATTTATTTGATAAACTTTTATGGAGCTCCTACTAAAAACAAACGAAAACAACAAACTCCCTCTCACGTGACCAGCCACCTACCTCCTTTTCGCAAACCTTCTTGACAGAGTCGTCCGTGTTCTCTCTCTCCCACCTCCTCACCACTCACTCATTCCTCAGTTTACCACAATCTGCACCAAGCCACTCCCAGCCACGGTGCTAAAATTGCTCTCGCCGTGGCCACCTAGCTGCCAACACCAGCGGATGGCGTCCGTCAATAGCTCCTGTGGGCTGCACTCCTCAGTGTCTCCTTCCGTCTCAGCGCCCTGACGGAGACCTTCCCAACCCCTGCCAACACCCCCAGAGCCCCCTCCCGCCTCTTCGCCACCTGCAATATTGCCACAAAGCAAATCTGGTTACGTCTCTCCTCAGTTTACAACACTTGGACTTTTCAACTGATTCAAAATATAGTAAAGGCCACATCCATGAAGAAGTTTTTGCAGTGTGGTTCATAATGTCAGAATGTCAGAAGTGTTTGAACTATCCAGCCGCAGGGAAGGGCTTTGTGGATGAGGGCAGACGTGTACGGGGAAATCCTATGTACCCGTTAACGTTGTAACGGTGTGCATGATCGATGCTACAGGCCCCTCATCTACAAACTACAGCGTATCGTGGGTGGCCTCAAATACTATGCTAGTGTGGACATTACTTCCTCAGTGACAGGGAAGCACTGGCGATTTTGTGCACGGACAGTTAGCACCTGATACTCCCTTATGTGTTGAAGCTCGGTCCTGTGCATAGGTGAGCCTGGACCCTTCACTCAGGAGCTGAAACTGGGTGCTGCTTACGTAAGAGGCAACACTTTTCAGCTACATTTTTACCCATGTCTACTCCGTGACATGTATCTGTTGGTTTTTCATCTCTTCCCACTGGGATGTAAGCCCCACACAGTAAGTTCTTTGTCCATTGCTGTGATCACACACCTAGGACAGTGCCAGGTCCATAGTGTGCCTTCGAAAATACATGCTGATGAATGAGTGAATGAATGCATGAATGAATGAACTGCAAAACTACATGGGAAAATGCTTATGAATGCAAAGGTAACATAATTGAATGTCCACTATGGTTTCCACTGAGATAGTGAAGAATTTTATGAAAAGTAAAAAATGTCATTTCATAGAAATTTTATGAAGAATGGAAAAAGCATACAAAAACTAATGCCATTCCTTTAAAGTCTCA